AGTTCATCAGGGTACTGGGTGGCCCCACTTTGTCATCCCTCAAGGGGTCTTTGCTTTTCCCCTGGCCCCCTTTTAAGAAGCATCTCTCTCTGCCCCCTACCCGTATCTAGCCCAGAGCTGTGTGTTCCCCTCCCTCACCCCCACAATGTTGTTCTCTGTCCTCAGGCCCAGAGCATGATCCCCATCAATGAACCCTATGCAGATGGTAAGTGTGTGCATACTCCTCACGGCCCTAGAAAGCCCAGCAGGGCTGTGTGGGTGTGAGGGAGGGAGACAGGTTGTGTCCCAACAGCCAAACGGCCAGTGGCAGGCCCTGGGTAGTATCCGTGGGTATGCCAGTCTGGGATATGGGAGTTAGGGGTGGGGGTCAGGCCCACTGAGCATGTGCAGAGGTAGAGGAGGTGGCAGAGGGCTGTCCAGACCCCCACCCAGAGGGTGGCCTGCAGACCCCTGGATGGAGCCCCCTTCTCCTCCCCAGACATGGATGTCACCTACCGCCCCATGTACTCGAGTGATGTGCCCTTGGACCCCCTGGAGATGCACATGGACATGGACGGGGACTACCCCATCGACACCTACAGCGACGGCCTCAGGCCCCCCTACCCCACTGCAGACCACATGCTGGCCTAGCTGCCTCGACCCCCAGTACAGCACATCCCTCCCTCCTTGCTTCCCTTCCCTTCAGACTTCCTGAGGCCCTTCTCATGGAGTCCCTCCCATTTCTGTGCTGAAACCCTGGCTCCTTTTCGAGGGAAATGAGTGTGGCTGCTGAGCTTCTCCATGGAAGGCATGCCCCACCCTGCCTTGTTCTAGTATCTTTGCTTGGTGGGGGGGAGTCCTGCTCCTTCCAGCCCCTTCTAAGGAAAGAGACCCAGCCCCTGCTGTGGGTGGTGGTGAGCCTCTAGGGGACACAGGCCTGCTGAGCCCGACCCTCTGTGTCTGCTCCGCCCCCAGGGGCAGGTCCTCATCTGAGAGCCTCAGCTGCAGGTGATGGGGCCAGGCAGGACGGTGCCTGAGTAGGGAGGGAGCCGCCATGACTTCCTGCTGACCCCACGCC